CTGTAGCAATACACGTGGAGCTTTGGACAAGTCATGTAGCCACTCCAAACATCAGTTCTTCATCTGTAAAATTGTAATTATTATTATTGCCTGCTCGATTAATAATCATGGAGTAAAATTTTTATGTCTGCAGTCTCTCATCTAACGGGCTCCCTTTGCTGTGTTTATATCGTGGAGAGTATCTTACTCAGGAGCTGATCCGTCTCCCCAGCTGCCCTTTATATACCAATAAGACCTTTTCACAACCTGTAGGCTTCTTCTGATGATCTCCCCTGCAGCGGTGCAATCTGTAAGGGTAAAGGCCAGGTAGCAGATATTTAAAGCTATAGATCCCTTTCCCAGTAATGTGTTTTATATTTTTCTCAAGTATTTCTTGTGATATAATGCATAAAAGCAATTTTAAATATTATCTTTAGGTATCTTTATTTAATCTTTTATTGTAATGCAAGTGCACAGCACTTAATGTTCAGCTTAATAGATTTTAATAAATGGAATATAATCATGTAACCACCACCTAGATCAAGGTAGAGGATGTGAGCAGTACCCAGAAGCGTCTTTCGTGGCCCTTCCAGTTATTCTTCCCCTAAAAGGTTAGCACTGTACTAAATTATATCTTGGTAGACTTAATTTTTGCCTGTATTTGAACTTTATATAAATTGAATCATACACATGTTTTCTTTTGTGTATGGCTTTTTTCACTCAGCTTTATGTCTGTGAGACTCATCTGTGTTGTGTTTAGCAGTAGTTCATTCTTTTTCATTGCTGAATAACATTCCATTGTATAATTTATCCTTTCTACTGGTGATGTTAGGTTGCCCCTAGGTTTTTGTTCTATGAATAGTGCTGCTGTGAACATTCTCATAGATGTCTTTTGGTACACATGTATGTGTGTGCAGATTTCTGAGTGGAATTGCTGAGTCATAGCTGTGCATATGTTCAGCTTCAGTAGTTAATTGTCATAGATAATACCAAACTTAGATGGAAAAATCCTAAATAGAGTATTAGGAAACTGAATCCAACACACGCAGACAGAGACACACAGAAGATTAAATACTTTCCAACCAAGTTGAGCAACAAGATGGTTTAATATTTGAAAATCAATCTATGTAATTCACACATCACCAGAATAAAAGAGAAAAATCACATCAATAAATAATCTCAGTATAATCATTTAAGTAGATAAAGAACAGAGATATGCTCCTCTATAACAGTACATTTATCGGCCGAGTGTGCTGGCTCACACCTGTAATCCTAGCACTCTGGGAGGCTGAGGTGGGAGGATCGCTCGAGGTCAGGAGTTTAAGACCAGCCTGAGCAAGAGTAAGACCTCATCTCTACTAAAAATAGAAAGAAATTAGCTGGACAAAAATACATAGAAAAAATTAGCCAGGCATAGTGGCCTATGCCTGTAGTCCCGGCTACTCAGGAGGCTGAGGCAGGAGGATTGCTTGAGCCCAGGAGTTTGAAGTTGCTGTGAGCTAGCCTAATGCTACGGCACTGTAGCCCAGGCAACAGAGCAAGACATTGTCTCAAAAAAAAAAAAAATAAATAAAAGAAATAAACAGTACATTTATCAAACTCAAGAAATATATAACATTGATATAAAACTATGATCTAATAAACAATGTATATTCAGATTTCCCTAATTGTTCCGTTGACATCCTAGATGTTTTCGTTTTGTCTTTTTCATCTGAGTTTCTATCCAGCATCAAACATAGCATTTATCATGTATTATTAAATAATAATGTATCACAATCATTATATAGCATACATATCAAAAAAAGTATAATAAAACTTGTTATTTTAAGGTGAAAACCCTTCTAACCCAATCTCATGAAAGAGGGTAGACTCTTGCCATACCCTCCAGAAGTTTTTCACATGTTTCTTCTCAAATACAACTCTTTCCTTTCTGAGAGGAACTACTGCTGATTTTTAAGATAATCATTGTATTTATAGTTTAGTTTTACCTGTTTTTCAATATGGTTTTAATAATATTTTAAGAGTATAATTTTAATTGTTGATGTCTAATTATATTAATATTCTAATAGCATTTTAATATGACATAGTCTTATCTATATATTTTTCCATCATCAGTTTTGCTTTTTGTATTGTTTCTGTGTCCTTAGTGCATCACATCAGGAGGCATATAATATCTATTTGTCTCATTATTGATACTAACTTTTCATCATTTGAATTAATCCATTAAATAAAAGTTATTTGCCAGATATATATTTTTTTAACTATTTTTCCCTTTGTGCAGTTTACTATTTTCTCCTTTGCACTAGGTACTTTGAGACTATGTAAATATACTCTTTCTTGTCAAACTTTGATCCTAGTTAGGCAATCATTGATGATTCTTACCCTAAATCATTTTTATTGTAATGTTTGACAGATGCTGAATTTCTAGCTCTATCATTCTGTCTATAGTTAATAGTTGGAATTCTGCTAGAAGGAAGGCTTTTCATTTTTCTTTTTTTGTGTATTTCAGTATTTTATATATTTTCATTTTATTCTATGTAGTATATATTCTGTTACTATCATTATTTATTGCATTGTATGAATTGTTTCAGTTTAGATCAGTGGGATGCCCTTCAAACTGGTGCCAGAGTCCTTTTGACATGTCTCTGAGCACTTTCTTACTTTCTGGAACACGATATTTCAACTTACCTTGTATTTTTCTAGTCCCAGACCTGGAATCAGCCATTTCCTTAAAGAGACTTGGTTCCTTTTAGTGAGTAATGGTATTCAAAAGCAAAGATCTTGGTGCTAGTTTTTTCTTTATATTTACCCTGTATGGGGTTTGTAGAGCTTTTTGAGTTCATGGTTTGATGTTGTCTGTGAGCTTTGAAAAATTCTTGGCCATAACATCTTTAAACATTGCTTCTGCTCCATTCTATCTCCTGTTCCTTCTCTAGGACTCCAATTACTCATGTTAGACTTTTCACTATATATCACATGTCTCTTAAACACATTTTTGTATTTTCTGTCCTTTTTTTTTTCAGTGCTTTAATTCTATTGATCTATAATCCTTTTTTTCTGCTGTGTTTAATCTTGTATTAAACCCATTTATTAACATTTTCAATGTAAAGTCTGATGTTTTTCAGTTCTAGGATTTCCATTTGACTTTTTTAAAAAATAGATTGCACTTATCTGGTGAAATTCTTGATATCCTCATTTGTGTTTTTAAAACATAGTAATCATAATTGCTTTAAAATCTGTGTCTGATTAACTCCAGTATCTGGATCTCCTGTGTGTCTTATTTCTCTAGTCCCCGCTGCCTGACCCCTGACATACTATAGAACATTTTTTTAAAATGTTGGATGGTGTTTGATAATCTGTAAGGTTATAAAAGCAATATTCTTAGATTCCCTGAAATAACAATTACTTTTTTTTTTTTTTTTTGAGACAGAGTCTCGAGTTGTTGCTCAGGCTAGAGTGAGTGCTGTGGCATCAGCCTAGCTCACAGCAACCTCAAACTCCTGGGCTCAAGCAATCCTGCTGCCTCAGCCTCCCGAGTAGCTGGGACTACAGGCATGCGCCACCATGCCCAGCTAATTATTTCTCTATATGTTAGTTGGCCAATTAATTTCTTTCTATTTATAATAGAGACGGGGGTCTCACTCTTGCTCAGGTTGGTTTCGAACTCCTGACCTCGAGCAATCCGCCCACCTCGGCCTCCCAGAATGCTAGGATTACAGGCATGAGTCACCGCGCCCGGCCAGAAATAACAATTACTTGATCTGTTTACATCAATGGATTGCTAAGTTGTGTTGTAACAACCCCTAATTCTCAGGGGTTTACAACAGAACGGGCTCATTTCTTTCTCATGTCACATTTTTGGTTCTGAATGACGTGGTTATTATGTTCCATGTGTCTTATTCATTCTGGGATCCAGGCTGAAGGAGAAGCCCCCATCAGGGATGTATTGACCTCATGGCCAAAGTAAAAGATAAGTGTGAATGATGTAATGGCTTTTAAAAGTCTGCTTGATTGAGGGTCATGTCATTCCTGCTCACCATCTCTTGGCCAGAGCAAGTCATATAACCAAGTCCACAGTTTAGATGGTGCAGAGGAGTATGTACTAATTCTACAGGGAGGCAGTAAAAGTTACATGTCAAGAGTAGGAATGTATAATCCTTTTTCAGGGAGAGAAGAGTGAATACTTTGGAACAATAATAGAATTTATCCCACTATTCTAAAGGAAAAACTCTCAATTTTGAAAAAGCTGTATATGTATGAAGGTGTGAACAGAAAATTATTAATAATGATAAATTATAAACAGTAGTAAGGAACTTTATGGTATATTCAATGAAATGTTAAACAGCTATTAAAATGATCATTGTAATACAGTTTGAGCATCCTTAATCTGCAAGTCCAAAATATTCCAAAATTTGAAACATTTTGAGAACCAACATGATGCTCAAAGGAAATGCTCATTGGAACATTTCAGATTTTGGATTTTTGGATTAGGGATGTTTAGTATAATGCAGACATTCCAAAATCTGAAAAATATCCAAGATCTAAAACATTTCTGGTCCCAAGTATTTCAGAAAAGGTATACTCAAGCTGTATCTAGCAACATAGGAAAATGCATTTAATATAATGTTAAGTGAAAGAGCTATGTACAAAGTATATGTACCTGTTGAGTATAGCTGTATACACACAATCATATATTAGTAAGAAAATTGAAGCTGTAAAGTTGATAATAGTCATTTTAGGATGATAGACTTATGAATGATTTTTCATCTTTTGACTTAAACTTGTAGTGCTGTTATTTTAGAATTTAAAATTATTTTTATAAAAGTTATTTTTTATTCTAAAAGTCATGCACATACATATCAGAGCAATGTTTGAAAATATAGAAAAAAGGATTAAAAGGTAAATTCTGGAAATATGTCCCCAAACCATCACTGTTACTATTTTCAGTGTGTTAAAAAAATTAGTATGTTTAAAAAAATGACCAGATTAACTTTATATTGTCTTGTCACATTTCATTTCAGGTCCTGAAAATCCTTGGTTGGTTCAAGCTTATGTTTCAGCAGCTAAACACCCTTTTGCTTCTGTGGTGGCTCAGGAGGTTTTTCAGAGTGGAATCATTCCTTCAGATACTGACTTCCGTATCTATAGGGATTTTGGGAACATTCCAGGTATTTTGTCCATGGTTATGGGCTCTTGTGCAACATTAATTCATCAAAAGCAAGTTTACTTCTTAAAAGTTTGAGTCAACAACATTTTCTGAGAGTAAATTCTTTATGGGAGAGCTACACATTCTGACTCACTGAAAAAGAGTTCCTAATGCGTTCCTTTTTTAAACTCCATAGTAATTTAAATGCTTGCCTCTTCTAGAATATGTCATCTTGCCCCACAGTGAGACAGAAGAACAGGGAGAACTGTTTAGTACTTCATTCCCAAAAGATGGTACTAGATCCTTCAGGGATCTTTGACTTTCATTGTTTTGCTTTGCCAGCTCCCTTGGTGACTTGTACTTACAGCTTATTTGAAGTTAAAATTTGGCTCTGGCCTGGCAAGGATGTAGATGACAAAGTTTTGATGACCTCCCAAACTCAATATTCCTATCCCTTGCTGTTGTGATTTATAATGCTTCCTTGTGGAGTAGTATACTTCTGCAATCATTATGTATTGAATTATGTACCATAGCTATAGATTCTGTAAGAATTTGGAAGAGAATTTATGTCATTCATTCATAAATGTGACAGAACAATCATACCACTGCTCTGAAATTTTGTCTTAGGAATTTAATACATTAAACAAATAGGCCTAAAGCAAGATTGATATTTAAAGCAAAATGACTTTTTTTTTGTCTGTCTTAGGAATAGACTTAGCTTTTATTGAGAATGGATACATTTATCACACCAAGTATGACACAGCGGACAGAATTCTAACAGATTCCATTCAGAGAGCAGGTTGGTATTCTAATTTAGACTTTTGATATACAGTAGGATGAACTATTAGGGATGACATATAAACCTATAAATAAAATACTCTGTGGCCTCTGCATTAGAGAGGCAGTCTGCAGTGTGAATGAGCTAGGGCTTTGGAGTTGGAGAGGTGAAGTCTTGAATTTTAGTCTTGCAGTCTGTTTTAGCAATTTAGGATAGGGATATTAATTGTGAGGAAATGAAAAGAGAGCTGACCCAGGGTTATGGTAGGATTGCTGAGTGATAAGAATGTAGCCAGAGTGAAAGCTATACCTTGGAGGTGGCACCGAGACACATGTTTGGGCAGGTTGCCTCGGTATAGAAAACAGGAACATTGATCCTACAGTTGGTGGTAAGGGCAGGTGAGAGGTTTATAGGACTGATGTCAGAGCAGGGCATAGGGGCAAGGGAGTTAAAGTGCTTTCTCGGGAGATTTGAAGTAGTCAGAGGCGATGAGTCTGATTGATACTGAGCCTTAAAAAGTTGGTAAGACTTGGCCTGTGGAGAAAAGAGGACATGCCAAGTAAGCACGGCATGAGTAGGCTGTGTTTGTGTGTGGGAGGCTGTTGGGGAGTAGACTGTCATACTAGAATGGAAGTAGTATTTTCAGAATCAGAGAAATAAGGTGGAAGTGTATGGGGTGGAGAAAATTATAGAACGCTTTAAAAATCGGCGAGAAGATGCTGTAGTGATAAGGAATCATTGAAGGCTTCAGTCTATGAATGAACTCATTGAGATGATTTTCTGTGCTTTTGTCTGGTGATGTGGTATGGAGCAGATGGTGAGGGGGAGAGCCAGGAGTCAGGGTTATTTGGACAGTAATTTAAGTATTGGAAAATCAGGACCTGGACTGTGGTATTGACCAAAGATAGAAACAAAAGGGGGAGGGATGGAAAATTAGACACATTTTGAATGTAAATTTTAGAAGACTTGGCAGGTTAGATACAAGGGATGGATCAGATGGGTGGCAGCAAAAATGATAGCAAAGTGTGGAACCTAGCTGGCTGGGGAAAGAGGATGCCATTGACCATGATGGGAAGGAGGGAAGGTGACCCTTATCCAGAGAGACAGTGGAGAGGGGAAGGACACTAGGAGTTCTGCCAGACCCGTAAGGCGGAGGGGTCTGTGAACCAACCTCATGAAAACAGATACAGTGTTAGAGCTCTTGGCAGACCTGGGTATTTGGGTTTGGGAATTAAAGGCATAGAGAAAACAACATGAGTATGAAGAATGGAATTTTTTTGTGAAGAGTGAGGCAGAGGTGGAGGACTAAGATTGAGCTTTGGGGGAAAAAATAAAGTGATGAGATAAGCAGCAAGAAGAATCACAAATCATTCATGGCTTCTTACTGCTCTTGCATTGAAGTTTAAACTCATTCATTCATTCATTGGTGTAACAGATATTTATTATAGACCTTTGATGTGCCAGGTTTTGCCTGATAAGACTGTCTCTGCTTCTCTAGCTTCATTGCTGAATACTCTCCTCGTTCAGGACTTTTTCTATATTTGGAACTTTTCCTTTCAGGGCCTTCATCTCCACAGTTCTCTCAGTCTAGACAATCTCCCCCATTGTATCTATTTATTTTTATTTTTATTTTTGAGACAGAGTCTCACTTTGTTGCCTAGGCTAGAGTGAGTGCCATGGCATCAGCCTAGCTCACAGCAACCTCAATCTCCTGGCCTCAAGTGATCCTTCTGCCTCAGCCTCCCGAGTAGCTGGGACTACAGGCATGCACCACCATGCCCGGCTAATTTTTTGTATATGTAGTTTTAGTTGGTCAGTTGATTTCTTTCTGTTTTTAGTAGAGATGGAGTCTCACTCAGGCTGGTTTCGAACTTCTCACCTCGAGCAATCCTCCCGCCTCGGCCTCCCAGAGTGCTAGGATTACAGGCGTGAGCCACCACGCCTGGCCTTCCCCATTGTATCTAGCTCCTATTCATTCTTTAGCTGTAAATATCACTTCCTCAAGGATGCTTCCCTGACTTCCAGAAACTTCATTAGTTTCCCATAATATGTTCCTCTGAGACTCTACTTCCTGTCCTTATTAATTTTTAACATATTTGTAACAGCTTGTTCAGTATCTATGAGCTTCATGAGAGGCCTTTGTCTCTTGGTTCACTGCTGAGTTTCTGGTATCTAGAAGAGTGTTTGGTGCAGTTAATATGTAGTTAATGAATGGGAGCTAAGAAATAGCTATTGGGTTTGTCAACAGTGAAGGTACAATTAGAACTAATCATAGAGACTAGTTCTGCTAGAAGGGAAAGGACAAAGGCCAGTTGGCTGAGCTTCTAAGTGGAGAGGAAATGAGGCAGTGGGCATGGACCGTATTTGAGAAATTTAGTAAGAAAAGTGAGAGAGGACGGTAGATAGGATGGTGAAAGTTATTTCCATTCACATTCTTTTTTTTTTTTAAGTTAAATCATATGACTTTTATTTTGATTTAGAAACATTACTATAAACTAATACTTTATTTTTCTCTTTCTTAAAAAATATGTATTTTCTAGTTATTTTCACTGAGTAGATATAGAAGAAATGAAAACTTAATAGCAATGAATACTTTTAATGTCTAGATTGTGGTCACTAAATATTATTTACCATGACATAAACTAAGGCTTTTTAGTTAGGAATGGCTAATTTCAGATCTGTGCAGGAAATAATGCAGTAGAAGCTTGAGAATACCATTGTACCTAAAAGCAATGAAGCTGTTACATATGAAAGACATAGGAACTAACTTAAAATCCAAAGGTAAAATATTAATAATTTGAGCATAAAAAAGAGTAATAAGTATAATGGATTGAAACACATCAAATATGTAAAATATCAATGAGTTTATAATGATACTCCCCTTTGTTGATTGTTAAGGCACCAACTCATTATTTTAAAAATTGATGAATTAAGGAAAGAAGCATTTATCATGCTCTTCCATTATAGACCATAATCAATGTATGCAAGTAGTTGGTCTGGGAAATTTCTTTGTTTTGGCAAAATTACTTCCTACATAATATTATGTATTTCTTATTCTATCATGTCAGAAGACTGAATGATGTCTGGCTGTCCCATTTTTTGTGTATGTGATGCTAAAATTAATCAGTGATTTCAAGTGTCATCAGCTTGATTCATCCACTGTAATATCTGCCTTCACAGTGTCACATGATTCCTCTATTATAAGGGTCCACTTCAAACTTTCAACTAATGGTTCTAATAGCCAGCCATGGATGAACAGGGTCTCATTATTTCCTGAGGTGTGGCAAAATGGTAACTCTATTATTTCTTCTGCATTTAATAGTTATGATAAATTATTGATGAAAATTTTCAGACCAACTTCTTGGATATAAAATAAGAAATTTCCATTCACATTCTTTCTAGCTATTTCAACAGCAGATGTTTTATTTCTGTTTTAAATAGTTATATATGTAAATCACAAATAGTTTATTAACTTTTTCTTTTTTTTTATTAATAGGTGATAACATATTAGCAGTTCTTAAATATCTAGCTACGTCTGATATATTGGCTTCTTCTTCTAAGTATCAGCATGGAAACATGGTCTTCTTTGATGTGCTTGGTTTGTTTGTCATTGCCTACCCCTCTCGTATTGGCTCAATAATAAACTACATGGTGGTAATGGCTGTTGTTTTGTACCTGGGCAAAAAATTGTTGCAGCCCAAACATAACAGTAAGTATTTTCCTGTAAAACTGCAAAGCATCTGGCACGTGTGTAGGATTTTCTCAGAGTTTTTTAGTTGGTTTGCTTATATTTTCCCAAGAAGTTAAAAATCTTAAGAAAATAAAATTTGCTTAATATTTTAAGAAATTTCTAAATAAATATTAAATTAATATGTGCTTATTATACTTTTTATCTTGGTGAAGCAGTTTTTATGTATTTAGGCACTCCATAGAAGTAACACATAAAAGATATTGAAAATAGTTCGTAAAGATTGACTTTGAATGAAAGATCCCATTAAAAAGTCTTATCCATACTACAGACCAATAACTGGTGTTCTAAAGTATGAATGAACTGCCTTGATTCCTTCTATTTGAAATGTTTCTACTTGAAGTGTTTCACAGTCTGAGTTGTTATGTGCTATTACAAGATAAAATAGCAGCAATTTAAATAATCCTTATCACCACTTATTTTTCCCATGCTCCTTATTTTCTTATGCTAGTTTCTTTTAAGCAAGATCTTACATGGAACTTTGCCTTCCTTTCTTGCTAATATTTTGATATACAAAGCATCCCAAAGGTGATAAAGATTATGACTACCCTTTTCCCTAGGAAGGAATATATCTGTGTTATTTCTAGAAGACTTATCTTTTTGAGTCTTTGGTATCTGTAGACTCTCAATAAATGCTACTTGAATATTATTCTTTGACACCTCCCCTGTTCTAGTGTTTAGCAAAACTGAACACTAGGACATTTCAGTTCTTTTTAATTATAATGGTGAATTTTTTTGTTTTAACATTTGCCTGTTTAGCTCTACTGACTGGTTATGTAATTGATTTGATCAAGATGGTGATCTCTGCTTTTTTGTTTTCTCTTCATTAGCTGATAACTACAGGAAGGACTTCTTGTGTGGACTTGGCATCACTCTGATTAGCTGGTTCACCAGCCTTGTTACCGTTCTCATTATAGCCGTGTTCATCTCTCTTATTGGACAGTCTCTGTCATGGTATAACCACTTTTATGTCTCCGTTTGTTTGTATGGAAGTGCAGCTGTAGCCAAAATAATATTTATACATACCCTTGCAAAAAGATTTTATTACATGGTAAGTGTTAGGCATATTTATTGATTTATTTCTGCTGCTTTTAAAAATTGAAAACAAACTCAAGTGGATTCATTGTATTTGGCCTGTTGAGCTATCAAAAATTGTTCACCGTGGTTATAGAAAATGCTTCCACACTGTGTTAATTTTCTGGAAGCTTTCTTATTCTGATTGTTACAGAATCCAAATGAGGTTATAAACCTGGGCTGTTGATAGGTGGTGGTGACAGCAAGGTTTGTTAGCACAGCCCTCTGTCTCTACTGAATTTGCTGCAGTTTTTATAAATATGCTCTTGTATTTCCCAACCCTCCCTGGGCTCACTCAGTTATTTATGTGGTTTGAATATCTCTGTTCTCCATTGGAATGTATGCTTCTTGAGGGCAAGGATAATTTTATTCATTGCTATATCCTCTGTGCTTAGGCAGTGTTTGATACACAGCACTAACACACAGTAAATATTTGTTGCCTAAAAGAATGCTGCACTTAAAATTTTCTCTTTAGTTTTTCCCCTCACTTTTTTTTTTCTTTTAACTATATGATGATGCAGATTCTGATAGCGTGCATGTATGGTATCGGGGTTAAAAACACCTTGCTGAGGAAAAAAGAAGGAAAGGAAATAGAATTCCAGATGATTTATAATGATTTTTAGAGAATATTGTCATAATGTTATAGTTTCAGATATATAAATTTGGTAAAAATAAAATTAGAAATTAGGGCTATAAAATAATAGTACTAAAAATTACAGTGAAAGAGAGAGTTATGGTTTCTGAGTGAATTAAAAGGGAACTCTTTCTTAGCTCCATTGTTTTCAAGACAGCCAGTGTAGACCTGCTTTTTAAAATTTGTCCTGAAAGGGATTAGAATGGAGACCTGGAAGACTATAACCCAGCGTCCTTCCACAAGGATGTCTTTGGTATCTGAACTTTGGTCTCAGTTTCAGTTAATATTGGGATGTGGTCTGAGGAACCCTTCCATGTTAGCAGGCCCTATTGAAGAAAGGTTCTTTGAGGTTAGCCATCTGTTTATGGTTGAGCTTATACTTTTATCTCAGTGGCTTCAGTTTCTAAAAGAATTATACCATGGGGTTCAATTTCACATGCTTATTCTTAGTGCAAATGTATGTAACCAGAATGTGGCTGGCTGTTGTTGATTGGGGCAGGGGCAGGGGCAGGATAGAAATGCTTATTAAAATTCCATTTACTTTCACTAATTTCAGTTGTCTAATAATAACACTTTGGGCTGAAAGCACAATGGAAAGAGTAATGTGTTTCATTTTCATTTCTTTAAACACCCAGTGGGCATGGTGCCACGCTAAGGCCTGGTGGTGCAGAGATTCATAAGAATGTGATCTCTTTCTTTGAGGAGCTCACCATTTTGTTTGGAGAAATATGGGAACTACAATAATTTCAGTACACTGTGGGATGAAATGAGAGTGACATATACACAGTGCTACAGGAATACAGGGGAAGAAAAGATGAATTTTGCATGAAGTCAGGAAGGCTTCATGAAGGAGGTGATATTTGAATGAGGTTTTTGGAGCATAAGTCGAAGTTTACCAGGTAGAGAACAGGTTGATGAGCAGTCCAAGGTGGGAATGTACAAAATGCATTTGCATCACAGTTAGTAAAAAGTCCAGTGCAGTGAAGACAAGGTGACAGCACAATTAACTGGGAAAGTAGGCCAGGGTGAAATTAGAGCATGACCCTTAAAATCGATGTGACCACCATTAACATTTTCTGAGCAGGTTAGTGAGTGAGAGAATTTGTGATTTAGTAAGAAAATTGGTAACAGTGTATAGAATGACATGGAATAGGACAGGGGTGGGAGGGATAATAGAGGGAATAGATTTGAGGGATGTTTGTTTTATCTTTGATACAATTTGGGCACTTAATGACATATTTTTCCATTATTTCAGTTTTTATTGCTGAGATCTTTGTTTTTAAATACCAGAGTGGCATTCAGCTCCAAATTGAATCCCAAGAATTACATTGCAAAGACCAAGCCTCTTGATCCACACTATGTTGAACATCTAAATATTTAGCAACTATAGTCTGTCTTTCATTATCCAAGGGGGAGGGTGTGTTGTCAAATGAATTTTGACTTATTTTGAAAACATGTAACAGAAACTCTCGAGCTCTTAAAGTAGGGTCCTTTATAACAAACATCAGGACTACAAAATGGGGGAAAGGTACAGTACAAGACCAGCTGTAGATAGAAAAGACTGAGGAGGATCATGCCAAGCCCCATATGGCATTGCATTAAACACCCTGCAGTTTTCCAGGTGTGCTGTTGGTGGTGCTGCAGCAGTTTGTAATGTTCCTTCACAGGTCATTTTTCTAGTGTGCTTGAAACAGTCTTTGGAAGTTGCGTAAACCAGAAAGCTTACAGAGATGAATGGTTTTAGGGGACTCCTTTCTTTTATTTTGGAACATTTCCAAAAATTATTTATATTCTGGTGGAAGAAAAGCACAGATTAAATACAAGTAATGGTATCACTTTTACTCCATCTTGTTAAATATTGCCCTTTCCTGTGTAGCAATTTGAATTTGTTACTTCATGATAGGATGTAGCTTTGTTAGTGTTTACTTTGTCAGTTTAAAGGGTAGACCTTGTTTTAAACAAAATGTAGCTATCCTGGGGGATAGAAATTGTATTGCAGTAAAAGATATCTATGAATGACCCATGAACGAGACTACTTGTATGTTTTTCTTTCTTTCAGAATGCCAGTGACCAGTATCTGGGAGAAGTATTTTTTGACATCTCGCTATTTGTCCATTGTGGTTTTCTTGTAACTCTCACTTACCAAGGACTTTGCTCAGCGTTTATTAGTGCTGTCTGGGTGGCATTTCCATTGCTCACAAAGCTTTGCGTGCACAAGGACTTTAAGCTGCATGGTAGGGTATTTTTGATTTTGATACAAATGGGAAAATGATTTAAAATATATAAGATAAGGCTTCTAGGGACTGTTTCTTTTTCTTATTTCATTGACTAGGCTTTCTAAATTATTACTGTTTGTTTTTTAAAATTTTCATACCACGCAGGTTATGTTATACTCTATACTCCTTCCCATTCTTATGTTTACGAACACATGCTAATATATTATTTGTGTATTTTGTTTAGTTCTTAGTCATATTTTATCTTCTCTGAGTGAAAGTATCTTATTGCACTAGATAACATGTACCCTAAAAAGGCAAGTTACATCTAACCTAATTTCTGTTAGGTGCTAAGCTACCTCAGTACTATACAAATCTGTATCTCTCTGTAGAATTCCATAGATGTGTGTTTTCTTTCTCTTTTTTCTTAGGTGCCCAAGGAAAATTTATTGCTGTTTACCTTTTGGGGATGTTTATTCCTTATCTTTATGCATTGTACCTCATCTGGGCGGTATTTGAGATGTTTACCCCTATCCTTGGGAGAAGTGGTTCAGAAATCCCACCTGATGTTGTGCTGGCATCCATTTTGGCTGGTTGTACGATGATTCTCTCTTCCTATTTTGTAAGGAAAAACACATTTTTAAAAAATTTTGTTTCTTTTTTCGTCTTTACATGAATGTGTGATGAGTTTAGCCATGCTAGATTCTATGAAATAATCTAATTATTGAGAAAGTCTTAAGCATATGGTGAATGGCTATACATCTTGTGGGTTTGTTATGGTAAGAAAATGTAGAATGGGATTTTTGTTGTTGTTGTGTTTTAAAGTTTTGCCTGCCCATCCTCCCAAATCTGCTCATTATACCTCTTTTCACATAGCCTTTCAAACTACCTGAATGTGAATTTGTAGAGTATATACCAGGTGAGAATTGTGAGAGATTGCCTGGTGTTGAACTTTTAGAGTGATTCCTACTAGTGTGTTTTGAAATTACTAATTAGAGGCAAATGTAAATAATTGCATAGTAGTTTTATTAGTCCTACTAGAGCTAGTGAAGGAAGACTAATTCTAATGAGGCTTTTTCATTATCGTTCCACTGCATTGTTGCTAGCACATCAAAGTTCATTGAGTCTGTCTGCTTGGGGGATACACACTTATGACATCCAAACATGCCTTCATTTACCAAGTAATGAAAGAGAATCACAGCCCATGTCAGCACCCATTTTGCTTTATCAGTGTCCTGCCCTCGTAGGGAGGGTTCTATTTTTGCTGTCTCTCCTTCTCTTCCCTTGGGACTTGCCAGAGGGAAGAAAAGACAGTTATACAGAGTTTAAGACCAGATCCCCCCTTTGGTAGATGAAGAAGCTCCAGGCAGAGTTTTGCTGTTTGGTGTCTACAACTCCAGGACTCAGGTTGGACCCCTCTAGAGAAGGCAGGTCTCTGTTTTGTGGCTCTTTTGATTGAAATTCCTAAGACGTACTTATTGAATACCTGTAGGGACACTTTGGGATTTGAGGCTAGGGGAACAAATAGAAAAAGGAGTTATGACTTTATTATAATTGTTTTTTCCATGGAGATGATAGTGAGCTTTTTCATACTGATACAGGGCATTTCTTTGGAAGTTAGGTTCTAAAAACAGCAGGTAAGAATAATACCACACACCTGGTCAGCATCATCCATGAAAGTCCCTTAAATAGCCAATAAAACTCCGTATAAGTGGCTATATATATATATATATCTGTAGAATGATTCTTGTGCACATTATTGTTTAAAGTTGGCTATACTAGCCTTAAAAGAAATCTGAGCATTCCAGTGATTTTACATTTAAAATAATGTTTAAGTCTTTAATGGTATTTATAAGGATTGATGAAAGTTCTAAAATGTTCTTTGTTGTCTACAGGGTTTCTTTTGGTTTTAATATTAACCCTTATATCCTCTGTACTTGTTAATAGATAGGTTTGCTGTTGTGAGGATTAAAAGACATGGTGGAGTCTTGTAATCTGTAGATTAAGTTCTAATATAAAGTCAGCTCATTTATGAACTGAACCCTACTCCCTAGTGTATTTATTAGATTTCAGTCAATGAATGGAAGCTATTGATACCCATAAAAGATGACCCAAATGTGGGACATTTGAATACTGTTCCATTGATCATATGGAAGGGGGCAAAATGAACCCTAGAAACTTTCACTGTGAATTGAAAATGTCCCCAAAGCATGAAAATCTTGGAAACCAGAAGAAAGAGGATTAAAACATGCTATCTTTAAATTATATTTTATTGAGAAAGCTTTTTTTTTTAAGAGATGAGTTCTTGCTCTGTTGCCCAGACTGGAGTACAGTGGTGTGCTCATAGCTCATTGCAGCCTCGAACTCCTGGGCTCAAGTGATCTTTCCACATCAGCCTCCCGAGTAGCTGGGACTATAGGCATGTACCACCATGCCTAGCTAATTTTTAAATTTTTGTAGAGACGGGGTCTCACTATGTTGCCCAGGCTGGTCTTGAAGGAGTGGCCTTAAGTGACCCTCCTGCTTCGGCCTCCCAAAGTGCAGGGAACACAGGCATGAGCCACAGCACACAGCCTGGAACTGCTTTTGGAGAGAAGATTGCCTCTTGGAATACTTAAAAAAAAAAACCAAAAAAAAACTCATTTAATTTTTGTTACAGTGTGAAATAGTTCTGCTGTACTTCTTGATGCCTTGGGTTATCGTTCTCTTCATTGTTTTCTTGTTTATGTGTAGCAATGATAATAACAGTGGTGTATTAATAGTGTGAGACTATTTTCTTTGGGTAATGGAGGATTGAACCACAGTGCATATTTCAGAGAGCTTTTATTTCTGTCCTTGGGGATTTATTAACTATATCTGCTAGAAAGCAATTAAGTTCTGTAAAGTGATCAGTTAATAGGTGTCCTGGGGTTATTCTCTGCTGGGCCATCGTGGTTATACCTGTATTGAGTGAACGAGAGCTGAAATGAGACTGCTAATGCGAGTGGGATCAGATTTCAGTCGGAGGAGACTCGAGAGAGCTCAGAGTCTTCAGCACATATTGGACATTTCAGAGTCCCTTATTTTGCGTGCATTTCAGAACCTAGAATGACAGAGGGTGCAATATTTAAAACAGAAATAGAACTGTAAAGGTCATTAACAGTGGGATCAAAATACATCGTCACTTTATGGCTATTTCCTCTTCCTCCGTCATTCTGTGATTGCCATTTCATTTATTACCATTACCAAACCTCTTCTAGAAGACACGAGGAAGAGGTGGAAGATGAGCCTCGTGATTTTGAGAAGAGGGAATGTGGATGTTGAAACTATAGCTTAAAGTGAGGTTTTAGAACAACTTTGGGTATGAGCTGGCTTGAGAAAGGTAGGGACCACAGCATTATGACAGGGAGGTTTTTGTGTGTTTTTTGACCTAAAAGACTTTCTATACCTAAACTTACCAGCCTTCCAGTGGAGGGAAACTCATTACTTGGCAGGATATTTGAAATTGTTCTAAAGAGCCACATTTTAATATTGTGACTATTTAGGAGAAAGAGGGGAAGACAGGGTGACAGATTGTGTTTTGCTAACTCACAGCCTTGAGTCCTCAGGTACTTTGTCTTATTTCTGTGCTTGCAGTATACAAATGTAAGATCTTTGGCCTAAGACCACTATTTTGTTGGAGATAACTCTAGATGGGATATTGGTACACTATAGGTCTGAAAATTCCTTAACTTTACATAGTAGAATAGATGGTAGGCTATGAATATTTGCTTAATTTTTCATTTTCATCTCAATAAAAATATTTTCACATTCATGTTCTTAACTTCTCTACTTACTGGCCCTAACTAAGGGTTGGGCAATAAGGTAAAGAAGGCAAAGGGGAAAGATGGGTTTAGATTATTGTTTCTCCAGGGGTAGCTTCTTCAGACCCCCAAGGGATCTGTGAACATATTCTGTTAGTCATGTGTGTCCTTTACAGTTTTTAATTCAGTAATTTAATTACAATTAAAAAGCTTGAGTATATTTTTAAGATTTTCTGTATGCCAACCTTGAGACCAAGCCATTCACTTTTACTGCCCAAGTTCAGATTTGTTTTGATTACATTGACATTGGTTAACTTCTCACCTAAAGGGACAGTAGTACTCTGTAATGCAGTTTTTCCTCATATTCAGGTCCACAGGCAAAGTCTTGAAGGTGCATCTCAATGCTAGTTTAGATCAGTGCTACTTTAGATGAATTCAACACTTTGGCACAATATAAAAGTGTTATGGGTGGAATTTGAGTTCTGTTAGGGTAGATCTGCTAAAGCTTAAAAAGCTTATCTCTGGTTATTTGGTGAAAGCCTTGATGTCATAATGTTTGGTACGCTGAAATGATGTCTGATGTGCAGATTTACTATCACAAGGCATTGATAGAATAAGAAATAAAGTAATGGTTTGGCTGGTGATGGATCTACATCTCTATTCTCTTTGCTGATTGAACACAGGGACACTGTGCTCAATTTCCTTTTCCCTTTTGCTCTCTGGCTGCCTGTCACAAGGCACCATCGTGGCACATTGGTGGCATCTATCATTTTCTAGGCTCTGACTTATAACGGAAGCCCCGTAGAATTAGTGCTTTGTTTTCTAGGTGTTGGAGTATGTTGGCATCTGCTGATAAATTTTCTTCATTGTCTGTTAGATTAATACCTGTTAGAAAATAAAGTCAGTTAAAAACAACTCTTGCCACTGGTATGAATTTATAACTTTTCTATTTGTGTGTTTTGTGTTTTAGATTAACTTCATCTACCTTGCCAAAAGCACAAAAAAAACCATGCTAACTTTAACTTTGATGTGTACAATTACATTCCTCCTTGTTTGCAGTGGAACTTTTTTCCCATACAGCTCCAGTCCTGCTAATCCAAAGCCAAAGAGAGTGTTTCTTCAGGTAAGAACAGTTTTGCATGAGTTATTTGAGATTCTGGAGAGAAAAAGCCCTGTGTATTTTGAGCTTTATGGTGCACAGGAAACTCAACTGACTTTTCTGCTATTGACCTATTTAGTTGTACGCACCTTTTTTGTGTGTAAAGTAGTAAGGAGAAGAATGACCATTAAGAGGCATTTTTACCAGCTAGACATACTTCTCCCAAGAGACTGAATTGGAAATGTTTGCTTGCTGTTTTTATTACTGTTCAAATTATAAAATTTTAAGTACTTGGAAAAACAAGAGCAAATATGTATAATGAAGTAATGAGATTTTTAGAAATACAGATTGTAAAAATGTCTGCAGTAAAAATCTAAACTATCAACTGGCAAAATAAACTAGATATTTTGCTAGAAGAATTAATCTTAAGTAAGCATTCAAAGTAATCTGTGATAATGAAAATATAATAATTTAAAAAGAGAGCAATAGGATCAGATTTAACTTTCTTTGGGTTTTTCTCCCAGATGTTTTAGAGCTGGTACTATAAAGCCATAAGCCTCATTTCCAGTTGTCTCTGTTAGAGGTGGTCGAGTAGCCAAACAGAAACGCCAAAGGAGAAGTCAGGCACAGTGGCTCACGCCTGTAATCCTAGCACTCTGGGAGGCTGAGGCAGGAGGATTCCTTGAGCTCAGGAGTTGGAGACCAGCCTCAGAAAGAGGGAGACCCCATCTCTACTAAAAATAGAAAAACCAGCTGGGCACAGTGGTATGTGCCTGTAGTCCTCGCTACTCAGGAGGGCGAGGCAGGAGGATGACTTGAGCCCAGGAGTTTGAGGTTGCTGTGAGCTACAATGATGCCACTGTACTCTGGCCAGGGTGATAGAGTGTCTCGAAAAAAAAAGAAAAAAGAAATGCCAAAGGAGTTATAACCTAATTATTCAAGGACTTGAAAAATTAAAAATACTTGAACTTAGGAGATTTTGCAAAGGGGCCAAATATTCCTTGTTAATAGTCCTAAAAGACACAGTGTTAAATTTTATGTAACAAATTTTACAGCTTATAAAAAGCCTTTATTGAATAACAGATAGTTTTTAGGAGGTTCAGTGTGTTTTCAGTGATACACTAATTTTTAGAGTAGTAGTATTTAGGAAAAACCAGATATTTATTTTTTTAAAGAACTTTTTAAAGTCCTTTTCTGATTTGTTTTGGGGTTCTCTTCTTCCGTTGTGCCAGAAGTTGGCAAACTTTTCCTGTAACGGGTAATATAATAAATATTTGTCAGATATACAGTCTCTCTTATAGCTGCTCTCTTTTACAGAGCAAAAGCAGCAGTAGACTATAGCTAAAAGAATGAGTGTGGCGTGTTCCAATAAAACTTTATTTCTAAAAACAGCCAGTGAGGAAATTTGCCTGTTGGCTGCAGTTTGCCAACCCCTGCCCTATGCAATCCTTCTTTCCTGTTTGATATTCTTCAGGCTGGTTTCTGCTGTTCATAAAGCTATTCCAAATAGAGCATGATGTCCTTTCAGAGACTTCTATTAGGCACAAGTCTGTCATCTAGTGGTGAGCTGTGATTCCTGTTTTTCTTTGCACATGGATTAGTTTCAGTGTGACACACTGAAAGGGAAATGTGTTTGTGTGTATATATGTGCTTAAGATGTATTTGTTTTAAATCCTTATCTAAAAAGAGCTCTAACATTCTGTCTTTAAAATCTGAAATAGTAGGTTTTCAGAAAATTTTATATGAAACTTAAATATATAAATATATTTGTAAGCTACAGTAAGCAGTCATCCTGCAGTTTAAGAGAAAGAATGCTAGCAATACCTTAGAAACCTGGAGTATCCCCTTTCTCTTGTTACATATTCACATCCACATCATTTATTAACATTGTCAAACTTACTCATTTTTGTAATGTGGGGTGGGAATGTAAGTGCACTAGTTGAAACAGTAGTTTTCTCATTAGTTTTGTTCTTTTCAGCACATGACTAGAACATTTCATGACGTGGAAGGAAACGTAGTTAAACGGGACTCTGGAATATGGATCAATGGGTTTGATTATACGGGAATGTCTCACGTAACACCTCACATTCCTGAGATCAATGATAGCATCCGAGCTCACTGTGAGGAGAATGCACCCCTTTGTGGTTTCCCATGGTATCTTCCAGTGCACTTTCTGATCAGGTTGGTTCATTACTTTTCTGCTTAAGTTGGGAGTTAGTTTGTTTTCAAGTGCTATCACTGTATCAGTAGTCTGTTATTTAAACTGTTATCCTTAACACATAAGTCAAATGCCATTTCTATCACTACAAAACTTCTGATTCATCAGTGGGATAAAGCACTTAGAAGAATGCTGGGCTTTCTGTAATCCTAGCACTCTGGGAGGCCAAGGCAGGAGGATTGCTTGAAGCCAGGAGTTTGAGACTAACCTGAGCAAGACAAGATCATAGCTCTATAAAATATAGAAAAAATCAACCAGATGCAATGGTGTGTGCCTGTAGTCACAGATACTTGGGAAGCTGAGGCAGGAGGATCGCTTGAGCCCAGGAGTTTGAGGTTGCTGAGAGCAATAATGACGCCACTGTACTCTAGCTTGTGTGACAGACAGAGCGAGACTCTATCTCAAAATAAATAAATAAATCACTTAAGAGTAGTTTTGCTTCTTCAAATTTAAAAAGTCTTTCCTCTAGAAAACTGACTAGTTAGAAAGGGCGGCCCTCCTAACTAATATAAATAATAATAGTTAAATATCAATCTTGAATTTTCTTATTTCTGGGAAGATTTTGTGGTTTGGTGGTGAAGGATTGGATGAGAAGAAATAGGATGGGAAGTGGAATCAAGATCATGTAGGTAACTCCTTTGTTCTTAATGGGAAGGCTTTATTATACAATAGCCTGAGAGCTTTAGAGGAGCTGGCATTGTTTATCATATCTACCAGAGTTTATTTTCATACTCCCAAATGTGGTCATATTTGCTGAATATATCCATGAGTTATAGATTGCTGTCAATTCATAAAGCATCCTAAAATATTGAAGCTATCTTTCCAAATAGGAAAAACTGGTATCTTCCTGCTCCAGAAGTTTCTCCAAGAAATCCTGCTCATTTCAGACTTATATCCAAAGAACAGACACCTTGGGATTCTACAAAGTTGACCTTTGAAGCAACAGGCAAGTCATACGACAATTTTTTCTTCTCTCCTTCACTTCTTAAACTTTTTGTTAAATGGCATGTATGTTGTTTCCTTAGATATAGCACAGTGACCAGCAACTTAGGAAGAGCTTACAGTATTTCTAAAACCAATTGAAGCTGTTTATGATCTCTTAACAAAAATTTAATAGCTTTTATTTTTTAAAGCAGTTTTAGGTTTACAGAAAAATTGGGCAGAAAGTACAGAATTCCCACATCCTTTCATACTCCCACCCATGTTCCTTTATTAACATCTTACACTAGAATAGTACATTTGTTACACCTAATGAGCCAATATTGATACGTTACTATTAACTAAAGTCTATAGTTTCATTAGGGTTCACTTTTTGTCTTGTGTCATTCTATGGGTATTGAAAAATTCATGATGTCATGTGTTTACCATTATAATGTCATACAGAATAGATTCACCACCCTAAACATGCTCTGTGCTCCACCTATTAAGCCCTCCCTTCCTTCCTACTCTCGCTAGCAACCCCTGATCTTCTCACCTTCTCTATGGCTTTGCCTTTTCCACATGTCATATAGCTGGAATCATACAGTATGTAGCTTTTCAGTTGAGTTCTTTCACTTAGCAATATGCATTTAAAGGATGCTGTATATATTTTTGTGGCTTAATAGCTCATTCCTTTTTTTATAAGTTTTTTTTGTCAACTTTATTTGTTTTTTTTCCTTTTATTTTATTTTAGTAGATTTAGGCAAGTTAAATCCCGTTACATGCATTTTTGTATAGTGGGGAGGACTCGGTTTTTGGTGTACCCACTACCTGAGTAGTGTACATTGTACTCCATAGGTAATTTCATTCCTCATTTCTTTTTATTACTGAATAATCCACTGTATAGATGTACCACAGTTTTCCATACTACAGTTAACCATATTTTTTGAATAAAGCTACTGTAAACATTCCTGTGCAGGTTTTTGTATAGATAGAAGTTTCAATTCATTTGTGTAAATACTTAGGAGCACAATTGCTGGATTTCATGGTAAGCCTATATTTAGCTTAGTAAGAAGCTGCCAAACTGTCTTCCAAAGTGGTTGTACCATTTTGATTCACTAACAGTGACTGAAAGTTCTACATACAGGGGTCCTCAAACTTTTTAAACAGGGGCCAGTTCACTGTCCCTCAGACTGTTGAAGGGCTGTTGGAGAGTGCGGCGCACATTCCACACATGTGCACTGTGGGGCTGGGACAAGTCGGCTGCTAAGCAGGACAGGCAGCGGCGGCAAAAACACCCAGCTGGCCGGATAAATGTCCTCAGTGGGCTGCATGTGGCCTGCGGGCTGCAGTTTGAGGGCCCCTGTATCTATATCCTCACCAGCATTTGGTGCTGTGCCAGTGTTTTGGGTTTATTCTAATAGGTGTGTACTGGTATCTTATTGTTTTAATTTGCAATTCCGTAGTGACATAAGATGTTGAACATCTTTTCATATGCTTATTTGCCATTCATATATCTTTGGTTATGTGTCTGTATTGGGTTTTCTTGTCCATTTATTAATTGGATTTTTGGTTTTTTTTTTTATTTCGGGGATTTTTGCTTTCTTGTTGATTTTTAAGAGTTCTTTGTATATTTGTATATAAGTCCTTTATCAATATGTCTTTTGTAAATATTTTCTCCTAGTCTGGTTTGTCTTTTCATTCTCTTAACAATGTATTTTGCAGAGCAGAAGCTTTAAAATTTAATGAACTCTAACAAACAATTTTTTCTTTTGTGGATCTTGTCTTTGATGTTGTATCTAAAAGTTATTGCCAAACCCAAGGTCCCAAGATTTTCTCCTATGTCATATTTTAGAAATGGTTTATTTTTGCATTTTATACTTAGGTCTGTGATCCATTTTGAGTTAATTTCTGTAGAAGGCATAAGGTCTTTGTTTAGCTTCATTTTTTTTTTTCATGTGGATGTTCACTGGTTCATGTATCATTTGTTAAAAAGACTATTCTGTCTCTCTCGAACTGTCTTTACTTCATTGTCAAAGATCACTTGACTGTATATTAGTATGAGTCTGTTTCTGGGTTCTCTATTTTATTGATTAATTTCTCTTTTATTTTGCCATTACCCCACTGTCATGATCACTATAGCCATATAGTAAGTCTTGGGTAATATCAGTCTTCCAACTTTGTTCTTCTCCAGTATTGTGTTTTGTCTTTCCATGTAAACTCTAGAATCAGTTTGTTAATATTCATAAAATAACTTGCTGAGGTTTTGATTGGGATTGCATTGAATCACTATAGGTCAAGTTGGGAAGAAATGACATCTTAACAATATTGACTTTTCCCGTCCTTGTCATGGACTATCTCTCCATTTATTTGTATCTTGTTGGATTTCTTTCATCAGAGTTTTGTAGTTTTCCTTATATAGATCTTGTATATGTTTTGTTAGATTTATTCCTAGGTAGTTTATTTTGTGGGGTGTTAATGTAAATGGTATTGTTCATTGATCATATACATATATATAGGAAAGCAGTCAACTTTCATATATTAACCTTGTCTTCTGTAACTTGGCTATAATCCCTAGGAAGGTTTTTTTTTGGTCAGTTCTTTCAGATTTTCTAAATAGACAATTAATTACATAATCTGCAGACAGTTCTATTTCTTCCATCCCAATCTATATGCCTTTTATTTCCATTTCTTTCCCCATCCCCCCCCGCCCCCGCCCTGTCTCAGTCTTGATACACATCCAATTGGTTCTGTTTCTATGAAGAACCCCCTAATACAGGAAGTTTACTTTTAAAAGTTCCCACCACTGTTACCGCTGTATGTTCTTTTTTGAGTACTACTCACATAGTAGACGGCTGTCTGGGACATTCATGAATGAAAAACATTTTCAAACATAACTTTTCTTCTTGCTTTATTTATTTGCATATTTTTTTCAAGGCCTGTTTTGCATACAGTGAAATGTAAAGATCTTACACAGTTACATTAGTTTTGGTAAAAGCATACATAAACGCATGTAACCTTCATCTTTATCAAGATACACATAAAACATTTCCATCACTGCACTAAGTTCCTTTATGCATGTTTTCAGTCAGTCTCCTTGAACCCCAGAAGCAACCACTCTTGAGATTTATACATTCATAGATTAGTTTGACCTTTTCTTGAACTTCATATAAATGGAATCATCCAGTATAGTCAGCCATCCATACATGCAGCTTCCAAACCAACTGCAGATTGAAAATACTTGAAAACAAACAATAAAAAATAACACAATAAAAAAATACAAATAAAAATACAGTATAGTAACTAAAGTTTACATAGCATTTACATTGTGTTAGGTTTTATAAGTAATCTAGAGATGATTTAAAATGTATGGTAGGATATGTATAGGTCATATGCAACTACTATGCTATTTCATGGAAGGGACTTGTACACCTATGGATTTTGGTATCTGAGGTAGGGGTGGGGTGTCCTGGAACCAATTCCCTGTGGATACCAAGGGATGATTGTAATTTTCTGGATCTGGTTTTTTGAGATTCAGCTATGTTGCTTTGAATATCAGTAGTTTGTTCCTTTCTTTTGGTGAGTAGTGCTCATTGTATGAACATATCACAGTTTATCATTTTCTTGTTGATGGGCGCTTGGGCTGTTTCCAGTTTTAGGTTAGTATGAATACAGCTGTTATGAACATTCTTGTACAAGGCTTTTTAGGAACGTATTTTCTATTTCTTTTGGATAAATACATAGGAGTGGAATTGTTGGGTTATTAGGGTTGACTGATGTTTAAGTTTTAAAAATTGTTTGTTCTATTTTTAAGCCCTACTAGTAATGAAAATTCCAGTTGCTCCACATTCTATTTGCTGTAGTTGGTCCTTTTCATTTTATCATTTCTAGTGGGTGTTTAGTAGTATCTCTTGCATTTCTTTAATAATTAATGATGTGGAACAGTTTTTCAGGTGCTTATTGGCTATTCATATATTTTACTTTGTTTCTGCATGTCTTTTCCCTTTTTTAAAACTCAGGTTTCTTATTGATATGTGTGAGTTTATATGTTCCAGATAAAAATCCTTCATCAGATATATATGTTGTGAAGATTTTCTTATGCATTTTCTTAATGATCTCTTTTGATATGCAGTTTAAAATTTTTATGAACTTGAATTATTCACGGGTTTTCAGGACTGGTGCTGTTTATGTTTTCTAAAAAAATTTTTCCCTACCCAGTTGTCACAAAGATGGGCCCTTAAAGTTTTCTCCTAGAAGCTTTATAGCTTTACCTTTTGTGTTTAGGCCTATGATCTGCTTTGAATTAATTTTTGTGGCTGGTGTGAGTTGTAGGGATCAAGGCTCTTTTTCTCTTTATGCATAATCCAGTTGTCCTAGCACCATTTGTTGAAAAAGAATTTCCCCATGAAATTGCTTTGGGACCCTTGTCAGAAACCATTTGTATACATGTGGGTCTGTTTGTGTACCAGTTACCACAATTTTACTTATAGAAGCTTTATAGTTTAATGGTTGATACAGTGAAGCTCTTTTGTGTGTTTTGTTTTTCAGCACTTTCTTTGCCATTTTTGCTTGTTTTTGTTTCCCTTGCTATTTTTTATTCGTTTTTCCATATGAAATTTAGTAATAACTCATCTAACTTTAGAGCTAATTATTTATTGGTGTTTTTTGAGTATCATAATAAATTTACAAATAAACTTCAGGAGCACTAACATCATATTGTTGAATTACCCTATTGAAGAAGTGGGAATGAATCTTCCATTGTTCAAGTCTATTTTTATGTCTCTGAGGAGTGTTAATGAATTTTCCTATCTAGATTTTGTTGCTATTTTAATTGGGGGATTTCTCTACCATTATGTTCTCTAACTGATTATTTTTTGTATGTCTGAAGGCAGTTGACTTCTGTATGTCAGTGTTATGTCCTGGTACCTCACTGAAGCTTTTATTTTCTATTAGTTTAATCATTAATACTCTTGGATTCTTCAGGTATACCAGGGATTGCTGAACTTTTCCTCTACAGGGACAGACAGT